CCCTGTCAGAGCTCCATCACAATGCTCCCCTCTTCCCCTTCAGTCCCCTCTCACAATAATACATATGAGCAAACACATATACTCATTAAAAATGAGTTACAACTCGATGTAAATCATATCCAGATTGCAGTTTCTGAGATCAGAGGCAAGAATGAAATTATTTATGCCAAGACTCAAATAGTTCACAACTTACGTCCCCACATGAGGAACACTATTTTCAGATGGCACACTCCAGGCTTCATTTGAAGGAGATATATTCATGATTAGTTTTTAATAAAGAACGAGCCATTCCAAGCCATCTCTTATTCAGCAGCATTTCTAAAAGCACTCACACAACACTGTTGTAAAGAAAGAGTGAAAGGCGTTTTCTGTTTTCGTTTTTACATTATTTCATGAGCATACAAAGGACAATATGTGATGACAACTAAAGAGCTATTCTCTACTTTATTGCAGGAACACATTATAAAATTAAAAACCATGAACAAATCTAGAGAATAATTCAGTTCTCATATCAAACAGCTGCAGACCCTGTAACTGAAATAGTGTGTCTAAGGTTATAAATGAAAACTGTTCAGTATCATTCTTTGAGTGACAGATTAAATTCCTAATCCAGTTATGGTAATGACCACATTTGTAGTTTAACATAAATTAAGAGCTTAATTATATTTGTGACTATTTTAAACAAAATAACAAATTCCTTTGTACCTGTGAACGTAATTTATAGCAAAGCCACGTTCATTCTCCAAAACAATCTATTTTACACTGCAGCACAACACTGCTCTAATGGTATAATGTAATTCTTGTTGTAGAATGCGGAAAGAGTAGATTCACTGGTAGCACAGAGGTTTTGAAGATAAATGAAGATGCTACTCATTCAGGGGTAATTTCATCTTAGAACTATATGAAAGATGTTTCACTCACAAACAGTACCTGTATGGCTTGGGATTTAAGTTATGTTTTCAGCTACAACGCAATGCTGCTAGATTGATTATGTTGATACTGCATTTCTCATCATGAAGAATTCCAGCTTTTATTCTCTTTAAAAAAAAAGAGATTGTCAGATTTTCATTTCAGTACTAAGCCTGTGTTCAAGCCTCAGCAACAAGTTCAAATTTCTGCTAATGTTTTGTCTAGAGAAAAAACAAACCACAATTCATACACACACACACACAAAAAATCACAAATCTGTCAAGGGCAATTAATCATGTGTGATTTACACATTTATTTGATTACTTGTTGAAGTAAATAAGCAGTTGGTCTGTGTAACACAATTTTAAATTGTCCAAACATCCTTCTGTCATTCAGGACTAAGAACAGACAATTCTAAATGCACTTTCCTGGAATATATTAAGACCGTTTACAAGGACATCAATTGCACAAGCAATTAATACATATCTTAACATAATGAGCCGCAGGCTCTATAACCTCAGGATAGCTATGAGAATTTCCATAATCCTGAACATTTTAGACAGCCTTTTGAGCAAGACTCTGAGACTACCTGCATAAAGATTTCAGAAGAACCTATAATAACAGAGGCAGTCTCAACATCCACATTCCTCCTCCCTACAAGTTGCAACAGTGCACAGAGATGCTCCCTTTGAAGCAAGAGGCCTGGCACAGCACAGCTGTATTAACCCCCTCCCTCCTACTCAGCCACACTACTTCCACCCAGGCACTAAACAAAAAGGCTTTACCTGCACCGGGCATCAACAGGGAGATGGGGCCTGGACAGGCTCTCTGCTTCAGACTGAAATATACTCTCTTGTGGTAATTCAGTTTTAATCCATTTAAAACTCCATTTGTCCCTCCTTGAAGTTGTGGAGTTGTTTTGATACTGAAATATAGTTGTGTATTCACTTCTGGTTTTTGGTGGCTTTTTTTTACTATGATAAGACTGATAAGCAGGAATGCTGTATAATGGAAGCTGTACAATAAATAAGCAGAGAATGGTTTTAACCACAAGTCATGTTACCCAGGAGGTGTATGTGTTTTCATTAACTTTAATGGGAACAGGACTGAGCATCTCACAAGAAGAACAGAGCCTTCATTCTACATACAATGTTCTCTTCCCTGTAGCTGGGTAATCATTACTGGTTAGCATTTTCCCTTGATTTTAATTCCTTTGCAGTGAAAATAAAACTTTATTCAATATCAAGATTTTGCAACCTGAGATCAAATGGGCTTCACTTTCAACAGGACTGTATAATACACTACTTCAAGTTAACAAACAAGGAGTGCAAACACCAAGATATACCAGAGATAATGCACTAGCTCATTTGAAGTTATGTTGCATTTTCAGCAAATAAAAAGAATCTGAACCCAGTAAAAAAAAAAAGGAATTGTTAATTTAGTCTGTTTCCAAGAACAACAATAGGCAGAAGAGGAATTAAAAAAAAACAAACAACAACAAAAACAAAACCCTACCAGAATCAGCAGAGAGGTTCCACAAGATGAGAGGGATTTTTTTTTTGGTTGGTTTGGTTGGTTTTAAACCATTGAAGGCACCACCACAGTTACTTAGCAATTACCAGAAGACTCTGTCCTCCCCTCTCTTATCTGACATGTAGCTATAGTCAGGAGTCCACATTTCATTGCACAATGAGAAGCCGTAAGTCCAATCATTGCTAAAGCAGCAAGACTCAACCAACTTCCTATGTTCAATCTGCAGCCCTCACTACTCATTAATTCAAACAAAATGCCTGCAACAGTCTGTTACACCTACACTAAGAGCAACTTGCTCTGCTGTCTGCTTGATCTGCTCTGCTGACAAGAGGTACATGAAATGCCATCTGTATTGCAGGGTCGTCAATTTTAAAACAGTCAACTTTTACTCTTGCTAATTACTTACTACGGCATTGGATTTTATTCTTTATATGTAGCTATCTGCATGTATGTCCTCTGAGAGCTATCCCAGAGCAGCATTATGAAGAGGTGCTGTAAGGAGATTTTGAGAAAGATCTGAAAGACCAGTTGTAGCACATTTAGAGTCTTGCTGTGAACCATGTTCCTTAGAGGCTTGATGGCGGCTGACTCCACATGCTCTTTTGATCACAGGGACTCAAAATTCTGATGTGTTTTCACCACATGGAAGTTCAACAAGCCATGAACAAGCCATGTATCTACTCTGGTGATATACATGTGCCCCAAATCAGTAACAGGGGGAAAAGGAATGGCAATAGTGGGGAAAAAAGTCCCAGGTACCAGCTGCTATTTTTCCTCCTATCCCCATTCCCATTCTTCCTCAGGAAAAGAACACACACACCCCACCAAAAAAAAAAAAAAAAAAAAAAACACACCCACAGCAAAAAGATACCCAGTAAAAAGATAAACAGGTTCTCATCAGAATAAACAGTAAATTCTAAAACAGAGGAACTCACCAATTTCTTTATGTAAAACACACCGGTATATTTAAAGCTTTCTGGTCACTAAGTTAGTAATACACAACTACAGATCCTAGTATCATTTCAAAATGGATCAAAGACACCAAGGATAGCTATTCTTTTGCAGTCACAATCACGTTACACAGATTCTTCAAAATAGATACGAGTCCCCAGTACAAAATTGTTCTATAAAGTTTAAGATCAGATATCTACCCAAGCCATATTTATAGTCATGGCTACTATCAGCTGTCCGGCTAGAGAATATTGAAGAAAAACAAGCATTTTTAATATATTATAGTTAATTTATCATCTAAGTGACATGTGTAGGATAACAATGGACTGGAAACAGTAAAGCAAAATGATGCATTAGAAAAGGAAATTTTAGGGTTATGTTGTTGTTTCTTTTCTTTGTGTTTTAAATACAAGCCACGCCTACACGTACTGTTAGATGGTAAGAAAATTCATGAGAACTACAAAAAGTACAGCTGCTGGAATAAAAAGGAACACTGAGATCAAGTGAGCAACAAAAACACTTATTTGCATTACTGTGAGGCACGATATAAAACACACTGCCCAAACAAATAAAAGCTGCCTTATTTATTTGATGTATCAAAGATGGATCATCTTTCCAGCAAAGGATAAAGGTACCTTCTTGCTGTGATAGAATTTACTCTTAGAGGTATTTCCTAGATTGCCAGACTGGGAGGAAAAAAGTTAGAGATCCTGGAAGTAGTTACCATGATCAAATGATCCTAACTTTTTTACCGGTAATGTCAGTTAGTCTCCGAGTGTCCCACTTTGGCTAAATGAGATGTGACCTTTTTGGATAGCCCTCAAAGATTGCTTGCTCTAGCTGCTCTGAGCTAGACCACACACAAAAAGCAAGAAGTAGGGGAACAGTACAACTCCCTGCTACGCAAAGCGGCAGCAAAGTTGCTTTGAAGAACAGGAACTTTATAGACACCCTGCTCACCACCACTTCTGACAGCCAGGCCCTCTACTAATGGGGAAAACATCCCCTCGAGATTTGGGGTTACTGAACCTAACAGGTTAACGGAGTTTACAGCCACAGAGGTGCTTTTAAGTCAGTTAGAGATGCAAGTTTGTCAATTATATGGACTGTTTCTAAAAAACACATTGGATCTCAACTCTGCATACATGATGAAATTGAGAAAACCTATCAGAGACATACAGAGATTTGATGCCCACAGCATGAAGCAAATATGCCTTGAGTTTGGGGCAGCATTAGCTTTGAGAATTAAATAACCAGCAAGCACCATGCAAGATGTTACAAGATGAACTAGCATACCAAGTGACAAAAGATGGGAACAATGCACAGTTCCCAGAGTAGGCAGACAAACATACTGTACAAACATAGACCAATATAAATAAGACTACAAGCAGCAGCACTCTATATAGGACTCAAAATCCTCGTGTCCTGTAGGCTCTGGCACTTCAATGACAATGTAAAGCACATCAGATCCAGGAAATAAGTCATTGATTTTGACAGAAATAATTCTTAAATTATTCATTTAGCTAAATACAGTTACTTTAGCTAGATAATCATTCAAAAAATAAAATGGAATTAACATCTTTAGTTTAGAAAAGATGACATTTTACCTGAACAGCAAGGGAAGATGCATTATCAGAAAGCAAAATTTGTTCCTCTGTTGAAAGAAAGAAAAAAAAAACCACAATTATAAAAAACAGTGCCCATTTAGCTACTGACCTGTAACTGTAAGCCATTCTGGGTTGCATTTCTTACGCATAAAACAAGGAACACATATATAATTATTATGCAGCTGGACTAGAAAACCTGTGATATGAATATTAAAAAAAGAAAGAGAAAAAAAAGAATACCAGGAATATTTCTCCTGCAAATGCAATTGCATTTATCGTACATTACCACCAATGTACAATAAAAAATGCTCACAACTAAAAACCAAATGCTTGAGTTTTATGTCAATTACTCTTCTTCTAATCAAAGTTAAATAAAACCGCATTTTCATAACTCCTCTGGCTAAAAAGTAAAAGCATTCAGAAACCTATAAAAGCAGCTTGCAGTTAATATTGCACACTGTGTCTAGGTCTGTCACACAAAAGAAAGATGACAAGTTCACTGCAATAAAAATTCCATGCTTAGAAGACTAGGGCTGCTACCTATTAGTCTTCATTACTTTGCAGTCTTCTGACAACTGTAGCAGGCTGCTAAGCCCCAAATGGGGGCCATAATGTGATCTGATGATATATGAAGAGCTGCTAAAGGGAGCCTGAACCATCCTAGCCTATACATTTTAACAGTTCCTTTTTACTGAGAGCCCACTTTACCACAAGACTTCAAAAATCTGCTGCCTCAGCTATTGGTGCAGTAAATCTGCCAACTGTGCCTGCAACCACATCATTTTACACTGCCTACAGCAGCCAATATAATGAGTCAATAATAAACCAAGGACCTTATAGGCCATGAATAGCTGGTTTATATTGGCAGATGCAAGCGTAGCTAAAACCTCTGACCAGACAAACAACACAAAGGACTCTTTTAACAGTTTCTGTGCTTCCTTGCAGTTATCTTAGTGCATATTTAATGTGTTTTCTAAAAATAAAGTAATTATTAATTGCAAAAACCAGTGTACCCACCCTTCAGCTGCTGATACAATGCAGCATTTTCAGGCCAAGGCTCTGCGGCTGTGGAGAGAAGAGGAATTAATTAAGCAAGCCAAACAACAATGTGCTTGCAGACGCTAACTGAACACAAACGTTACCTAGAGGAGGAACTCAAACTGCAAAGATGCTGATGCAAGATTTAACCTGCCCTGAAAATGTCCCACTGTCATTCTCTTCTCCCGTACTTCTCTCCTGCTCACAGAGGGACAACACAGAACAGAAAACTGAGTCCCAAAATTTAATGTTGCAAGAAAAGCTAAAATTCAAGCTACATTAGAGTGGCCTTGTAATTCTCAAGCAGCTAAAGCAGCTATTTTCCCTCCACCATAAAGACATCCCTGCGCACATTCCCATCACAATTCTGGCCACTCTCGAGCTACTATTTATTAAGGTACTAAACAAAGAAATCTGGAAAGAACAGAACAAGACACAGAGGAGAGAGGCACAAACCTCCAAACCAAGTGTGAAGAATGCTTTGGGGAAATGGAAAAGTTTTCTGCCTTTGTGTCCTCACTGGTCCTATAGAATACCCACAAAGCCAGGTGCTTGGGCATGTCAGAAACCTACCCACCTGTTAATGGTAGCATTAAGATAACAGGTCATCACATTGTTTTGTCTCCATTGCATTCCTTCTTAGTGCCTGATTAAACATCTGGTTTTAAATACCAATTCAAACCTTGCATTCTACCCAAATTAGCTATTTGTAAACACAGTTAATGCTCTAATGACATAAATTATTTTTTTAAAGCAATAATGTCTATAAATAACTATGTGTGGTTCAAACAGAAATATGCCACTGGCTTCAGTAAGGTCATTCTTTGTGTCTTTGCCCTCAGAACTCAAAGAAAAAAAATGCACAATTTTGATTTGTGTAAACTATCATTCTTTTTGGATATTCATGAAGTATTAACTTTTATGGAAGTCACATAGAACTGTAAAGCTTATAACACTGTACAAAGTTTTGCAAAGGTCACTGCCTCTAACATTAAGGCACAGAACCTACCAAAGCTGCACTAGTATGGGCATGAGAAAGCAACTAATCACATTTAAGTGTCATGAAAAAATGTTTTATGTTTTATTGTAGCAGTTATTGGTTTTACACCCCTCCATTAAAGTTTTGCCCTGGAGTAAAAATTCTTGAGGTGGAAGTACATTTACTTCTTTAAATAAAAAGAGACTAAGATAGTGTCTGCGGTACCACAGCCTTAACTGTTTAAAATAATTTATCTAACATACATTTCTTCAGGTCCACTGAAGTCTTACAAGAGCAAATGGAATGAGGAAATTAAGAATGTTATTACTATACTTTAGCAAACTTATCAGAGCTGGACTCCAAGATACTTACAGAAGTAACTAAGTCACGAAGGTACATTGATCTCGTAAATACTCCAGCCAACCAGTGAAAACATCCTTTTTACATGCCCAAAATGGTATGAACTTCAAAGTGCATGGGCCCGTTTCTACTGAAAATTTTTGCCTGACCCTCTTCAGACTGAAATGTCAGATTTATATCCAATTCTTGGCCCAAACTGGAAGTGGCCTATTTTTACACAAGCACGTGACTGAAATATTTCAGGCCCACAAAAGTCAAGTGAACTTTTGATTTTCCAACAAAAGATCTAAGCATATTTCAAGAAATTCAAACAATTCCAGTCTGATCTTGGCACTAAGTTATATGCAGCCATGGAGAGATATATATATAGAGAGAGAGAGAGAGAGAGAGATAAAAAAACAGCTCCTTGGCACACAGAATCCAAAACTACACCACTGCTAAGGCATGCCATATCCACGCTATAAACTAAAACACAAGTAGAATATTTTTTGTAACTTGTTTGCCCTTATCGGCTTAAATTTTCCTTCCACATTCTACTCATCACATACAGATTTTCATGAACCATATCTGCTGACTCTAATTTCATCAGTCATGATACAAAGTCTTTATCCCACAGTCTGAGCACACAGAAGCACACACTCAACTTGTGGGAAGGAAAGGGCAAGGGTAGTTTAAAATCTTTGCATTCACTCATTCACAGTTTAGTTGTGTACTAGTATGTCTTTTGACAAGTAAATGAAATGAGGACAAACAGCCACGTGAAAATCTCAGCCTTCGTTATTAGTACACCTTAAACTCCAAATTTCAGCAGTTCTAAGAAAACGAATTAATAACACCTCCTGCACTCGGCACCAGTGGTATCTCCAGAGGGAGGTCACAATTCTGACCATGTTTGGATGAGGTGGACACATGGTCAAGAGCCTTGAACCGAGGCCTTCAGTTCTTTGTACGCAGACCAGATAAAAGTTAATTGATTTTGTCATCCTTGTACAGACTGGATTTTAAAACGATCAACTTCACATTAAGATTTATGTGTTATTACTCATATCTAGAAAAAAATATTCTGCAGCATGCATTCAGAACTGCATGCAGCAGATCGTGTTCAACAATGCTGGAGATACATACACAAAGCCTGCGCAATCCTCTGGAAATCAAAGAATTAAATACCCACTCACTAACTGTCCCATATCTTCCAGTTTCTACTCACTTACTTTCTTCCAAGATGTTTAGAGTATGAAACATTTTTTTCTGATGGAGCAAGAAGTTTAAAAACACACTGCTACATGACATGTCCAGGTTCATAAGGTGCAAGCTAAATTCAAATATCAGCTCCCAAGCCGCCTTCGATCAGTTGTAAGGTGAAAACATGCAGCTAAGGGAGACCAGAACACCATTGGGGGAAGAGAGGAGGAGGAATCGCTGAAGGGACGTCGCATGCCTCCACAAGAGGAGAAAGCGTGTAGCATCTTTAATGTACAGCAATGACTCTTGCCTTATGAATGTAGGTGAAGACATAATTTGTAGAATAATAGGCACTAATATTACACGCTGCTTCAGTTCTGTCATATTTCCAATCCATCAAGTTGATTAATGCTATAATAACTCCTCACAAACTTATCATTTGTGCACTAATGAAGTCAAATCCAGTTTATCCTTCGGCAACTATAATCTTCTGGTGTGTAGATGTTCATTTCTCTGCTGACCATGGCTACTGTGGCACTAGGTATATAAAAAGAAAATTAACAAATGTGATGTCAATTCAGTTTCAGAAGCTTTCAACACAGAATCACATTTAAGTGTTAGATCCTACGCAACAGACATTTTTATCATTAGCTGCTCACAGGATGAAATAACTGCCTGCAAGTATGCCTTACAGCAATAGCTTCTCTACATATCTTAAGAATAAGGAACTATTTGGTTCTTCCTTCTGCCTCCATAATCAGAGGAATTACTACTGTGTGGTTTTCAATGGGTCTGTCTCTCAGGCTCGCAGTCTTTAGTAAAAGTTGTTTTCCCACCCTACTGAAACTTTTCCCATGCTTAATGAATTCAAATATTAGTCTTTCATGTGGATTGTCTGCTGTTTGTTCAGGACGAGCAAACCTCATGCTGTTGTCTTTCCCTACTTCTCCTCTACCACACTGTTTGTTTTAATGCCAGTTATAGGAAGTAACCATCTGCAGGATCAGTCCTCCCTGTTAAATTTGTCTGAAATGAGCTTTGAGTTCAAAAGTTACTGGGAAATGAGAATTAAAGGGAGATGGACACAGAAAGCATCACTGCATAAGCCTTGTTATCCTAGGAGCTGAGAATTCAGCAGATGCGGCATCACAACAACCAGAGAAGTCAAACGGCAAGTAGACCACCTACATAAAATCTTCTTTGGTTTTGTGGATGACTAAAAACGCATGAAAATTTCACTAAGCTCAACGCATTTGTTAGTCAAAGTGTTTAACTTATTAACAGTTTAGCATAGAAAATGCAGATTTCAAAGTGTTAACAGGGTTCTTAGGTGTCAAATTAGACTTTTAGAAGAAAATTCTGTGAATTGGTGTCGTGGTTTAACCCCAGCCGGCAACTAAGCACCACACAGCCACTCACTCGCCGTCCCCCCCCGCTGGGAAGGGAGAGAGAATTGGAAGAGTAAAAGTGAGAAAACTCGTGGGTTGAGATAAAGACAGTTTAACAAGTAAAGCAAAAGCCGTGCACGCAAGCAAAGCAGAACAAGGAATTCATTCACTCTTCCCATCGGGCAGGCAGGTGTTCAGCCATCTCCAGGAAAGCAGGGCTCCATCACGTGTAATGGTGACTTGGGAAGACAAACGCCATCACTCCAAACGTCCCCCCTTCCTTCTTCTTCCCCCAGCTTTATATGCTGAGCATGACGTTGTATGGTATGGAATATCCCTCTGGTCAGTTGGGGTCAGCTGTCCCAGCTGTGTCCCCTCCCAACTTCTTGTGCACCCCCAGCCTGCTCGCTGGTGGGGTGAGAAGCAGAAAAGGCCTTGACTCTGTGTAAGCACTGCTCAGCAGTAACTAAAACACCTCTCTATTGTCAACACTATTCTCATACTAAATCCAAAACACAGCACTATACCAGCTACTAGGAAGAAAATTAACTCTATCCCAGCTGAAACCAGGACAACTGGTGTGCTGTGTGTTCCCAGTGGAGTTTTAATTACTCAGGTTTGTAAGTATCTATTAAAACAGACTGCTGGACTCCTCACCTGTCATGTCAGAGAATGACTTAGAAAATACATCATTTCTGCTCTTACAAAAAAACTTCCAAAACACAGAATGAGTCATGACAATCACGTTAAATTCTTTGCCACTAAAAATGTATTCCACTAGGTGCATTTTTCAGATCTTGTGGTGAAATGTTTTACTTGAGCAACATTAAGGCCAGAGACACATATTCAAATAGCATTTTGATTTCAACGTTTCCAGCTGTTTCAGACTGTCATTTCAATAGTAAGACTTTATCCACCCAAATACTTCTGAGACAGCAAGAGAGAAGAATGCACATATGCTGTAAGAAGAAATACTTAAGAGTGGACCCCACTATCAGCAGGGGATCAGCAGCTCACATGAGGCCTATGCACATCTCAGCTCCAACTAATGCTCTCAAAACAGGACATACTGTACTTGCATAGAGGTGAATTTTAATTCAAAGAATGAGAGGCTGCAG